GCTACGGCTACGGCTACGACGACTACTACTACCACCACTAAGTACTACAACAACAACAACAACTACTACTACTACTACTCCTGCTGCTGCTGCTGCTACTGCTACTGCTACTACTACTCCTTCTACTACTACTGCTACTACGACTACTGCTGCTTCTTCTTGGGTGCACGAAGCCACAATTGCTATTTCTGTTGTTGCTGAAGCTTGTACTGGTGCCGCGGTTCTTTTGAAAGGTTTTTGTTGCGAGTCAAATTCTGCCTTCATCTCGCATAGGTGCTCACGCACCTGTCTGCCTTGAGACCACCGACTACAGGGCAACGGGCTTGCGGCCGAGCTGTCGTGCTTTTGAAACAGACCCCTAGGTCAGCAGAGCATCAAGCCACGTGCGTTTCTGAGATGCACAGTTCAAAAGGGGGGGAGCATAAGGAAGAGCCAGGTTTGCAAAAGTTAAAAGGATAAGCCAGGGTGGCATAAGGAAGAGCCGGGTTCGCATAAGGGCAGAAACCGTTAGCATAAGAAAAAGCCGGGAGCATAAGGGGAGAAGCTCACAGCATAAGAACAAAAAACCATGCCCTTTGAATGAACCTCCAACCTCCAGACATCACATTCCTGACGCTTTCTGGCTCACAGGGCACGCAAAGTGTCCACCCGTAGTGTAGGCAGCTACACGAACGGGGAGGCTTGGCCGAACATGGCGACCTCGCAGGAGCTTCTCGCACAGATCGCCGGTGCCAAGCAGACCTTAGAGGAGACCCGGAGCTGCATCTTCAAAACGAGAAAGCCGTAGGCTGCCAGCAGCCCGCCCAAAGCCCAAACCCGTGATCCCAATGCCTGTAGACTTGAATGTCATCAACCCGAAAAAGCAAGAGCCTTTGCCGATCCTTGAAGGAGAGGAAGCAGGCCAACAGCCGGTTGAAGGAGGAGTCGAGCAGAGCGGAGGAGAGACAAAAGCTCCGTAGGCAGCTGGAGGAAGTGCAGAAGCACATCTCCTACCAGGACGGATGTGTGTGTGTGTGTGTATATGCGTTCGGGTTGAATTAGATCGGGATAGGTGGTTTGCAAGTCTAGCCAGTTTGGGTGTACAGAGGTTGAGGGGGCGAAGACGCTACTCAGGATTTGAGTTGAGAGAGGGTGCAACCAGCGGAATGTCTGGCCTTTGTGTTTGGGGTTGTGTAGTGCGTGATCTTCAGTAGATCTCACACCTAAAGGCTCTGCCATCTCCGAGTTCCAACATGAAGCCCAAGCCCGAGCCCCAAACCTTGAATCCAGGAGTCCATCAACAACTGCGAGTGCAACTATCGGCGCTTGGTCGATGCGGATGCGCTGGGGAACACCCCTTCCGATGGTGTGAAGCCTCTAGAGGCGATCGTCGCTGAAGAGAGGGGTTCGTAGTAGTGTGTCCTGGAGACAGCAGGACGAGGCGTCAGCATCGTTGTTTGGGATTCACGCTCCGAGAGTCTAGCTCGTCCAGTTGTGCGCGCCATATTTGTTTATTCATGCTGCAGCAGCTTTTTTCAGATGCAAGCTGCTCACATTGATAAGCCCCGAGTTTGTGGGAAGCAGCTTCGTGAAAACCCTGGTCATTGATCGCAGAAGCTCATGGAACAATCTTCCAATACAAACCCTGCGACAAGTCGTTTGGAGGCCTGTAAGTAAAGCATGTCAGCGCCATATCGGCTGTACCGATGCACCAGGTTGGAGTGTTATGCAAGACCGGAAAGGATCTTTAACACGGTGCGGTTGCAGGCAAGCATACGTGACAGACCGTTGCTGCGCAACAAATGTCAATGTTGTGTACTTGGCTGAGGTGATATTGCTGCTGTGCAGACACGTAGCAATGACTTCACGCAACAATGACAATGACGCACTTGCATGCCTGCAAAGCCTCAGCCTTCGCTTTTGAGCCTCGTGCATCCTGACTTCTTGCACATCCTTGTCGGCAACACTTGTCCTAGTTCCTCCACTTCAGGCCCCGGAGGCTTTCCCAAAAAGGCCGTCATTGCTTCAGGACTGTTCTTGCAGGCACAGTCAGTTCCGATCAGAATGTGCGACACAGAATGCGACAGTCTTCAAGCACAAGCGTTACTCAGCACGCGTCTTGAACTAACACATGACACAGGTTGCCGGCATCCTGTGTAACAGCTTGTGTTGCTCAGAGTTCGTATGCGCATTGAAGACAAAAGCATGTCAACGAGCACGCACAGCAGCTTTGTCGTACATGCTCGCACATGCAATTCCATTCTGAAGATAAGACTGCCTGGCTAAGCTCGTGCATGCGGCGTTTCCCAGTGCTTTCACCCAGTCGGCATTCAAAGCTGTAGGCCAGAGGCACAACAAAACTTTCGCGCAACTTCGCGCAACCATGTCCGTCACCAACCTTCCCTCAGCTTGGATTGGTGGGTACTGATTTTGAAGCAGCCGCTTCGTCAGAGCCACTTATCCCGCTGAGCACCATTGAAGGACTATGTCTGGGCGCTCATCGCCCAAGTGTTGAGAAACACGCTCATCATGAGTGAAACCCGCAACCTGTACAACAACAGGGTCCGTAGCGAGATATTGTGTGTTCTTGATGGCCGTTCCTATGCGCTCTCCCTGCCCATTATGTGCAACATACCGTATCAGGTGTATGCATCAATTTGAGAAGAGACGTCCTGCGGTATCAAGCATCAAGGAAACAATTAGATCCATTAGAGCTTGTGGTGCTTCGGCATTGACCGCCGCATTGTACAAACACTGCTAAGGCTACCGTAAGAAGGCTCAGATCAACAAACACACGTAAGGGGTTGAATGATGTAAGAGTTGAGGGTCGATGCAGGTCCCCCCACCACGCTTCAACCCTGGGAGCAACGGGGAGCTGGTCCACTGCAGCGAGGTCCGAAGCAGTAAAGGGGAAGGGTGGAGTGTTGGGATAACTTGCAGGTGCTTGGCAAAATCCCGATAAGGTTTTCTTAGGGTTTTCTTGCGACTGAAGGCTTGAGGATACGGGGTTCAGAGTTTACAGTTTATGGTTCTGCGAGTCATAAGCAGTCGTCATAAGCCATAAGCCCGAAGGACAGCAGCGGCGTCTTTTTGAGTGTGAAGTGAGGTCGTGGTCAAGGGTGACTACGAATGGCGGATTGAAGGCAGGGTGTCATCCATGCTGGGTTCCAGGTGACTTGGGTTTTGCAACTCAGGATTTGTGTTCAGTGGTTTAGATTTTATTGAGCTGTATCAGCAGTCATTGGGGTCTCTTACAGGGGTAGGGCGGTGCAGCGTGAGGTCAGCAATCTCGAAGAACAATCCAACAAATCCGACAGTCTGCTCCGAACTATCGCCCAGCCTGCTGAACCCGAAGCAGGCATCTCCTGGCTTATCAACGCTCTGGAGCAGAACGAGGCCAACTGTGCCGAGAGTTGCACCTTCATCGTGGCCGGGGAGGACTCAGCCCAAAAGCCCTTGAATCCAACGCCAAAGCCCGAAACCCTTCGCCTGGAGGATTTCTCCTTGGTCTACCACCCGGAAGCGGGGGAGGCTCGGGATTGGGGCTTTGGTCATCTCTCTCACAGGTGTGGCCATCTCTCACAGGTTGCTGTCACAGCAGCAATGATATCTGCAGTCCTAAGTGTTACATTAAAACGGGTGCATGGTGTGGCCAGGGTTCACCCTGAACATCTTCTGAACCCCGGGCTTAAAGCGCAAAAAGCACTCAAGCCAGACCAGATGCCCAACACTCTTGTACATACAGCATCCAAGGCCGGGGTCTGGGCCCCAGACTTCCTGAGGTGGGCTACCTGGGCCAGTCCCAAAGAGGATCCCTCTGCATCGTGCACCACAACGGCGACGGCATCACCTTCCGTTACAAGGCAGGGCTTCATGGGCCTAAGTGCCAGGATGGAAGACTCACAGTCTTCTAGTGTGCAACGACATCACCCCCTTTCACATTCGATTCTGAAAAGTATTGCTGAGCCGTATAATCGAGAAAGTTGGCCACCGAGCAAACTGCAAGCTTCACCTCTGCAACCTGTCAGCCAGAATCTTTTATGTGTGTCGATCTGTAGCGCTCAGCCTTCCAAGCTCGAAGCTGGCACCTCAGACGTTGTTACACAACTGCGTACAACGCGAGCTCATGATCCCCTCCCAGATCCATGGGCTGGTGTAGCTTCCGGGCGGACCAGATCTTGATGAAGCTAGGGGCGCATGGGGCACCACTTCTAGCTCCGATGAAGCCTCAAACCCACAGCTCCTCAATTGCAAGCATTCAGCCCGAAACTACCCTAATTCCGAGATCCAACGCCCCGGATCCAGGCTCTGGTCAAGAACGCAGAGGGCCAATGGGTGCAGTGGGGCCAAGAGGGAAACGAGTGCCACACCGGATGCTCAGATCCGACACCGGCAGAGTCTCCTGCATTCCGAAGTTTATCGAATTCTTCTGAGATCCCCTGAGCCCTAGGAGCGGACACCTCTGGACGAGCCTTCGGCCCGGACGTTTACTTTGCGGAGTCAGCAGAAATCCCTCCACATTCTATGGGAATCTTCGGCATGAGCCACGAGGACCTGAGGCTTCTGACTTTGTCCCTCTGCTGTATCTGCAAACAATGTCGCGCATGAGCGGTTTTGGTTTTGAGTCGATACACATTGACAGTCTCCTTGCTGAAGGTTCCGAGCCTGAGTGTTTGGCCCCTGTTCGGGGTCTCGAGGCTTCTGTCTGTAGCGTCTTCGATCGCCCGACATCTCGGGCCGATGTTTAACAGCACGAGCATGGCTCCGTGCTTTTCTTTCTAGGAGCAACCGTGCAGTTGATCCTTCCTTCTTCGGAGCAGTGGCCCGTATGCTGCACTCTTTCGGAAGGTAAATTGTCGCAGCTGCTTGAAGGCACATCTAAATTAGGCTTGTATGGCTTGTATGGGACTTACAGACTTGGACTGCAGCAGGTATCTCGAGATTTGGGGCAATGCGCGTGGTGGTGACGATGATGATGATGATGATGATGATGATGATGATTGCTGGTGACGATCGTCATCATTACTATCGGGATCATCAGTCTTCATTACGATCAGCACCATCTTCATCGTCACCCCGTCGATCATCTGCAGGAGCTCCTGAAGTCGCCATGGATCGTGGATGGCTCCCTGACAGTGAAGTTTGAGCTCGAAGTGCGTCCCAATGTGGAGCCTCGGTCTTCTTAGAAGGGCTCGGAGGGTGTTTCTGATGATGATTTCCGGACGGGAATCACTGATGCAGGCTTCGGGGTTCCGTTGACAAAAGCACGTCGTCCGTGTACAGCTATGCGCCATTGTGGTCAGGATCTTGTCTGTGTCTGTGCGTGTTGGGAGATCGAGAGCACCGTGGCACTTCGCGAGCTATGATTGAAACAATCCTCGACATACAAGACAGCGCTCCAGAAACCCCAGCCTCAAATTCAAAAGCCAAAAGCCCCAAGGCCTCTTTCTGCTTTGAAAACTTCGAAGGAGCTGGATCCCATGCCGCTGCGGAAGCCGGCTATCGAAGTGCCGGCCCAGTCGCTGTCCAACGACCTGATGAGCATGTTCGAGGACTATCTGCGTGTAGCGGTCATCCGCGTGATAAGAAGCGCAAGTAGGCTTGCAAAAGCATTGTGGGCTTGGCCCCCAGACTCTGTTGAGTGCTGCAACCATGCGCCGGTCGTCCTCCCAAGCCTGGTTCAAACTAGACGCGAGTGCTCCTCTCTGCAGCAGTGCGATCATTCGTGCTGGCAGGTTACTAGACACGATGGATATGATGCTGTAATTGCATGTTGTGCTGACTCTGTATCTTCACACTTTCTGCACTGCACCCCTTCAACCCGAGCTTCGCCAAACGAAGCCGAACATGTGATTTTCTTTTTCGCCGCAGGTGGTAGAACCCCTGACCCAAACTGGCTGCTTCACACAGCCTGACCCCTAGGCCCTAGGCGATGCCCTCTAAGCGATTCGACACTTAAAGCCCGGCCCCGGCTTTGACCCATTTTACTCCCAGACTACAGTCTGCAAGGAGGGTCGAGGGACCGACATCACCTTCCTGGTGCAGGGAGACGGGGTCAGGGTTGGGACTAGGATCCTGCGTTCAAGGTTTGATTTGGGTCGGTAGTGCAGCTTGGCCGAGAGAAAGGTGGGTTGGTTCTTGGGGTGCAGTATTCGGGCTGACCTTCAGATGATTTCAAATCCCGCAACAAGGGAGGCTAGGTGTTGCGCGGGGCTTCAGTGGGTTGTCTTGTGAATGCGTAGGTCCTGAGTCCTGAGTCTTTTCGAAGTCAAGTTTGAGCAGCAGTCGTCGACAGCGTGGTCGTTGAGATTGCAGTTGTCGTGCTGGTGGCGGCCTCTGTAGATCCCATCCACGGTGAAAGTCAGGCCTCGGACAAACCCAAGCCTCGAGAAAAGCCGACACCAATGCCAAGCAGAGGGCCAAGCTAAAGCCAAACTTTAAATCACGCTGAGCGAAGTTCAACCCGGGGCAGTGAGGTACCTCACATGTTCTAAGACGTTTCCGCCTAGCGGTAAACAATATGAATCAGCCCCTTTGCCAGGAGAGCGGATTCCGGCTCATTCGCAGATTCTTTGTGCCAGATCTCAAGTCCTCGAGCGGCAGTTGTACAGTGGAATGAAGGACGTGGCGGGCGGGTCTTTGCGTGACCGCAACGGCTGTGCGACTGGCGATTATTCCTTTACGCCCTTCTGCATCACAACATATCACGTTGCATTTTCATACATTTTCATGCCGAAATGGGCGTCCTGTACGACTGGCGGTATAGGTGTGGTATACTGCCCACGGGACGGTACGGGTGGAATTTAACATGGGGCCGCCAGCTGTAAAACCGAGAGTTAGAACCACCCCGCACAGCCCTGTACAGCCCCGTATACTGCCCCGTACCGCCCATCACTCCGCACCGCTCCCCGCACCGCCCCGCATAATGCGCACTGCCTTGTACCGCCCCCCATTAAACCGTGACCAAAAATGCCCGTACCCGTACCGACCACTCCTTACCACCAGGTACCCCCACACTCCCACTCCGTACCGCCCCGTACCGCCCCCGACCCTCCTGTGCCGACCCATTCCGTACCGCCCCGTCGTGCACCGCTCTGTACCCCACCGCCCCGTGCCATTGCACGGCAACTTATGGTTCTAACTTGCTCAGGCACGAGCCACATGCCGCCAACGTATACCGCCACGACCCTGTACCACCCCGAACCGCTCCGTACCGCCCCATGCCGCCGCACGGGGTTGTCAAACAACCCTGTATAAAATTCCCTACAAAATCCCTGAGTTTTAGTATCGTTCTTTCCTTGCCATCGTTTTACCAGTCAAAACTACTAAACTTGAGAGACATTCCTCTACTAGAGGCCGATTAGAAGCCCACTTCGGGAGCATTTGTGTGTGCGAATTGGTTCATCATTTGGCAGTCAGTTGTGATAGCTGAAAATGGCGGGGTATGCTCCTTTAGCGGATCATGAGAGTGAGCGTAGTCATCCCAAGCGAAATGTTCGGTGCCCAGCGTATCGATTGACTCCACAGGCCAGTTGGTGGCTCTGAAATGTTCGAGCGTACCCACAGGAGTCCATCTCCAAAGAGATTCTTGTAGAAGAGACGCAGTCGGCTACGTTCAGAGCCATGCTCAAGCTTCACGGTTGCAGCAAGTTGCAGCCACATGTTTCTGTAGGCTTTGGGTGAGGTTCTTCAACATAGTAGCTTAGTAGATGCTGTTCACCCGGGTTGTTGCACATGTCCACGAAGCACCGTGAATGCACACATACCGGTCCCTTGCAGTTGTACCGGCCGGGTTTCCAAAGGTGGACATGAAGCTCCAAATAATCTTCAATCTTGCACCCTGAGTTCTGAATCGTCTAAGAGTTGAGGTCCTAATACCGGAACAGCTGAATTTGCCCCAGACGTGCATCGAAAGTCTGCGTCCAATTTACAACAGGTTCCTGTACACAGACGACCTGGCCATCATCGAGGATACGAGCATGTCAACAGTGGGGTATGGGAGTTTTGCCACAACCTACCCCCAACGGCGACGGCCGAAGCCCCAAGCATCATCAAGCCTCTTGCATTAGATTGAAGTGATGTGGCCACTACAAAAAACTAGTTCGGGGGTCTGTGGCTCCACATCAGACCTGAGGAAATCGGAGCATAAACACCGCTTTGGCAGAGGGCTTTCAGCCATGCATGTGGAGTGTTTGGAAGGCAAATCCTGCAATGTAACTGGATATTGGCAGCCTGGCTTCTTGTCCTTGCAACCCAATTAATGCGTTTCCTCCACGGATTGGAATTCCGCAAGACGACAGCGACCTGTGCAATATACCCGCCAGGACCTGGCGAAGCATGCACACGACAGCTCTGGATCGTCTTGTCTCAAGTGGAAGATGGCGACGCCCTTCCTCCAAAACCTGCTGAACCTGGGCCGCACTTGCGGCTTCGGGAAATCGCTTCTTACACAAAGCGCATCAAAGCGCAATGTGCCAAGCCCAGGAGCCTTAGCCACCTCTACCAGATTAACCGGCTGCGTGTCTGGTGTGAGCAGAAGCTGCGCATCGTCGGCAACAAGTGGCAGCTCGCAATCCCTGTCTCGAGTCATTTCATTTCAGACAGAAATCGCATTTTGGGGCTCAGAAGTTTAGAGTTGTAAGTTGTGAGGGTCGAAAGCCTGACGACCTGCACCTACAAAACACCACGTTCCCGAGGGCTAGACTAGCCTACAAGCATCGGGTTTCTGTTTTGGGGCCCAGGGTCGCCTAGAAACATGACCATGGTTTTAATTGTCAGAGATGTATTGCAGTATCTCTCGAAGATTCCCTCAACGAGCGGCTGGATGATTGCAGCTGCAGAACCTCCGTGTCAACTGTTACCAGGTGCGACAACATCTCTTCCAACGAGGTCTTCTCCATTCTCTGTCAGGCTCCGACGTAGGGGTTGGGGTTTGTCGTCTGGCTGAAGGAAAAGGCTCGGGTGAGACGGCTGACTTTCTTCAACTTTGGGTCTCCAAAGTGGAGGTATACTCATTGTTTGGTCAACAAATGTTAGCAAGTCAATTATTTCTAAGGTGGGTTGACTGCTGGGCGCTCAGGGTGTGTCTTCGTTGTCTACTGGTATGAAGTGGTTTTGATTTGAGTGGCTTGATAACAGAGTAGCTCAAGCTCGGCAGCCGGAAGATGTTGGCTGTACATGCTAGTAGCAGGTTGGTTGGGTTGGGATCGGATGGGGGTCAAGATTGGCGTGAGTTCACTTATGACTTCGGCCCCAGACCTTGAGACCCAATTCGACATTCTCAGCCACAGATCGCCGGCACCAAGGCACATCTCTACGAGGCGAAGCAGCTCGAGAAAGCTTGCCTCAACTTCATCAAGGACAACCTGCCCCAGGCAGGAGATGAATCAAAGTACCTCAAGCCCCATCTACATGTGACACCACCTAAGAAGGCTGCGCATGTTTGCCCTGGAGGTTGTGGCAACGCCCGACTACGGCCGGGGGTGTAAGGACTGCAGCGGGTTGCGGGTTGGGAAGGTCGGGGTCTTCAGGTTTGCCGTTTGACCGACGCGTCCAAGTAGTTGTGTCGTGTGTAAGAAGCAAGCCATTAAAAAAAACAAAAAAGACACATGCAGCAAACATGTCCCGTTCCGCGGCAAGCCCCAAAATCTGCAAGCTCAGTCTGGAGAGGAGTGGCCTGAGATTGTGCTGAAAATCAGCGCTTCGCTGGCTTGCCTGGACGAGCGCACTGCGCAACCAGCCTTCGAGGCGTTTCGAGGCCACAATTTGCAGAAGGAGATCTTGGACGGGAAGTTGGAGAAGGCGGATAGACTCGAGAAGGTCGGCACTGCGGTTCCAGTGTGCTCTTGCAAGCATTTTCACTTTGGTGGCAATTTCTATAGGTTGCATAATGGTGTTCGGCCACAGAAAGGAGGGTTTGCTGACGAGCGTCAGGAGGAGCCCAAGGAGAAATCGGAGAAGCCAGAGAGGTCGGAGAAAGACAACCACAAGGACTACAAGGCACTGTGCAAAACTGGGGGTTGCAGTCTGACACGCTTCCACCACGCTTCATTCTAACGACGCTTCGTATGTGATTGGTTTTGTGCTCTAATCTACGACCTATCGAACGACAGTCATGACCATGATGATGACTCTGTTTTTGCGATGGTACGAGCGGCAGTGTTGGTAGGGGCATGGCGGCGTGAGAAATGCTGCTGCTGATGCAGCTTGTCGTGGATGATGATCAGCATCATGATGCCGATGGCCGCTACTGAGCAGTACCGGTACCGCCCTACGGCTGTACATCGAACAGTGCCAGGAGAAGGAGAAAGCGGTGGAGAAGGCCCTTCCAGCGAAGAGGAAGCGCGGCTTGTGAGGTTTCGTAGTTTCATGGGCGCACTTCCATGCAGGACAGCGATTAGATTCGACAGGTCATCAAGGATGGTATTTTTCTTTGTGAAGGAACGTCGGTAAGGGTGTCTGCCTGCATGGGAGTTTCGGGGAAGCCGCTGTGAAGGCTGGGCCAAAGAAGCGCCGCACGCAGAAAAAGAAAAGCTTTGTAGGGGTTCCGGGCTTGAAGTGTAAAGGTTGGGCTGAACACACTCAAACGTCCTTGTCGAGGGTTCAATCTTGCCACATGCGTGCTTGTAGCTGCCCTCTCCAACTCTCTCCCTGAACGCTGGACTTTATTTTTCCAGTAGCTCTCGGTGGCTCGTTGTCGCTCAAGTCCGAAAGCTCAACCAGACAACCCAAGCTCAAGCCCAAGAGCACTGCAAAAAGGTGTGCTGGTCTGGTTCATGGTTGAAAACGGGCGAGTTCCTTGCGTTCGATAGCCAACAATCACAACAGGATCACCAGAAGATGTCCGATAGCTTGTGGATCCGAAGTCTGGACCTTCACACAAACGAAGGAAACGAAGCCTAAACATGTCTCGGCACTCAGGCCTGCAGCAATGCGCTTCAGGCTCTTAGCCTACCCTACATCTCTGAGCCCTGATTTGCTCTGTGCTCCAAAGCTTGTGGAGTACGAGCTGGGAGGTATGCTATCGGGCAAGAGCCATGTGACTGCTGGTTTAATTCGGCAAAACCCCTCTCCTGAGCCTTGCGTTTTACAACCGTTTACAACAAACTTGGGAAGTTCGGCGTTGCGAGTTGCGGACCTAAGAGCACTCGAGGTCACGAAGTTCCATTCAGTCCGGCCACCACAGTTGCCAATCCGTGACTATCTCTTCAGGAGCATCGGGGTCCAGGGCAATTGGGACTTATGGGCTTCAGGATTTTGGGTTGCTCGGTTCGGGGCTCCGAGGACAGAGTCTGTGGTATTTTGAGTTGAGATTTCTGGGCTTCTGGATCGAGAGTGCTGCTTCAAAGCTTTCAAGGCCGGAATTCGTGTGCTTCGCTTGTCGGGCTTGCAGAACCGCAACCGCAACCATTGTGTTTGCACACAGTCTGGGATCCTGTTTGACGGCATGTTTCCGTCCGGAGCAGTTTGATAAGGGCTTCCAGCAACGCTTTTCGGGGTGATGTGGCGTCGATAAACGTGTTTTCGGCTTTAGTGTCTGACATTCGCTTGAAAATGTGGTGGAGGATTGCAAAGTACTTCCAGTGCAGCCGCGAATGCTTTGTGTGGCTTGGCTACGCAACCTTCGCTTCGATGTGCAATGAAAGGGAATATCCCGGAGATAGTAGTAGTTAGTAGTCATAGTAGTAGTAGTCGTCGTAGTAGT